TATGCTGTAATTGCTGACATCTTAGGCAACAAAGAAGTGTGTGTTTACGCTTTATTATAATAGTATAGATATAGATAGTATAGCCTGTAAGCTTTTCTCTTGTTATCTAATTATTACAATAAAAAATAAAAGGGTTTACAAACTGTTAGAAACTCGTTTTTTTATTATTCTTGTCAGAAATTGTGCTATATTAGCAACATTAAAAGACAAGTTTTTTCACATGGCAATCTATTTAATTATAAACAGACAAATTATGTACGTAACGAATGAAATCCAAAACTACTGGACTGATTTGAAAACTTGTATTATAATTCGAAAGCTATAAACATAAGCTACATTTCATCATCATCATCATCATCACCAGCTCACTATACGTCCCCACCGAGGGGCTCGGAACCTACCCTAAGTTAAGGTGACTAGGCCATAGTCAACCACGCTGTACTGTGGGTTGGTTGACTTCACACATATATTTGAATTTCTTCGCCGATATGTGCAGGTTGCATCACGATGTTTTCCTTCACCGTAAGAGCTTCGGATAAGTTAAGTACATATGAAAATTCGAAAAATCGAAAATCACATTGGTACGGCGGGATTCGAATCCAATACCTGTAGATTACAACTCAAGTACTTATACCACTAAGCCACCGACACTTAATTTATTTGAAAGTTACATTTACTTGAATAAAATAAAAAAAAAACTTCCAAATGTTAATTTGTAAAAATGTACATATGAAATCGTTAAATTATCTGATTATTGGATACTACTTCTTTGTATATTTTTAAATCTAAAGGGGATGTTTTCATGATGTTCAAAATTAAATTCCCAACACGAGGGGCGGCTCCCTAGTTTCTAATTTAACATCCCCCGTTGCAGTTGCTCTTTAATATTTAACTTTAAGTTGAATTAAGCTACGTATTGGATTACTACGACGGGTATCACTTAATTGTTTGTTGACATTGATATTGAGAAGTTTAAAACGAAGTGGAGCAAAGATCATTTTTGACAGTGTTTCCTAAATTATAACATAATAACCATAAACACGACGCTGCCCCAATCCACTGAGCGAGACCCATAAACAAGAATAGAATAGAGTAAAAGGCATAGTTTTAAATTCCAGCTTGCGGTTTATTCTAAAACAATCTTTTTTTCTGATTTGGTTTAAAAATATTTGCGCTATTCTTAAAGCCTGCTACACACGCTTGGTTAGATTAGTTAAAGTTTTGTCTACACACATAGATAAATGCTTCGACTGTTCGAAATGTGTGTAGCTGGCTTAACAGAAACATGGATGCTTGAATGAGATTTAGTGAGAAATTTTTAATAACTGGTATGATTACACTTATGAAGAAATATTAGTTCTAAAGTAATACATAAATGTTTAAGTTTAAATAGTTGATATATGGTTGTTGAATTAAATCTGTTCCAACAATATCGTCGGCATCGTAAAGCAAAGACGCACGACTTTTCAGTTTTCTTTTTTTTTGCAGAAATCGGCTTAAAGTATATCTGACTACACAAAACGTTTTAATTATTTTTTTTAAATGGTGTATTAAATACTTCGCTAAGAATCGCCGTTTAAATATAATTCGACAAATTTAAAATACGCACCTTTAGCGAGCGCACACTTAAAACTATACTATGAAGGCACACTACTCGATTTTTAGTTGTGCAAAACTTGAATTGGCTGCGTAATCGACAATCGCACAACTTTTGTGCGATAGTTTACTCACAGGTGTGCGCCGGCTCTTAAAGTTGCCGATTTGTAATCCGTCTTTGTTTTGCGACGCCGACATTATAAAATGTAAACATTAATGCATATTACCTGCGATGTTCAAGGTAGCTTGTGCTATAAATATCGGCGATGTTAGTGTATAATTTCAGAACATTTTCCTTAAATTGAAATACAAACCTTGAGTTAATAGCGTCCATTTCCTGTCAGAGTGGTCTCTTTTTGATTTCATACTTTACCATGTCTTTTATTCTTTATTCAATAAATTAGCTATTCCCCTGCGACTTCATCCGCATAAACTTATGAAAATGTTATTTTATAGTTTACATGTGTCAAATAATCAATTGCAAATGACAAAATACCAAGTACCTTACTATGGCAATTTTGCTTTCTTGATGTTGGAAACAACTTATGGTCTCTTTACCACATTAGGGTTATTATCCAAAATATTAACCCCCTATGTTTAATGGCGTGAAAATGCATAGTCTAAAGCATAACGTAAGTGTAGGGCTTTTTATTAAAAGAAGAATTATTCAAAATATGCTGTAATTGCTGACATCTTAGGGAACAAAGAAGCGTGTGTTTACGCTTTATTATAATAGTATAGATAGATATAGATGTATGACGACAAAAGTAGAGGAAGACCGAAGAAAGTATGGATTGTGTGGAGAATGTACCTAATGCACGGATTAAACTTGGTCATTATAATTAGTAGCACTCAATAACTGGACTGTCAATTTACTGGCACAGTGTTTACGGTAACTGGCGACAGTGAGTCCATACTATATATGACGGTGCATTTATCCAACTATATAGGAAGTGAATTTAGAATTAACGGGTGATAGAGTATGGAAGAGGCACATACTTGTACCCTACGTAGGGATAAGGGCGGGGTGATGATGATCACTAATTTAGAGACTCCGTAAACTAGATATTTTATTGGCTGATATTTTTGTCGGGGTTTAGTTAGTATGGACATTGTTAGTGCGCACATTACGCGGAAATTTTTATATGATTTTGGCATAACAGTCCTACATAATCAAAATATCAGATCAGAAAAAGAATATAGTCTGTAAGAACGCAGTGTTTATTCCACCTATTTTTCTGGTTTATAACGGACCTGTTTACAATAATGTCAATGCTAGTGCGCCAGCGGGGGTCAGGGCGCCCCCTGGTGACCTAAATAAAGCCGAAGGCTAGTGTTACGCACTCTGAACTAATTCATATAATACTTGATATTATTTTAAGTAAATAAATTTCAATTTGATACTGTTGTGATTGTAAATCTATGGTAAAGTAAGACTTTTTTACCTTCATGTTTCATAAAACCTTTAATTTTTTTTACTAGCTGTCGCCCACGATTCCGTCCGTGGAATTAAAACAAACAAAAGTGTAGTAGCCTATGTGTTTTTCCAGACTCTCTAGAGGATACTCTACAATTATACCAAATTTCATCGAAATCCGTTCAGTCGTTTAGGCTACAAACTCTAACAAACATCGATCTAAACTTTCGTATTTATAATATTAGTTTTTGATTTTTCTCTAAGACCTCTGATCTATAATGGATTTAGGATTATTTTAGGGACATTCTGTTTCTTTGATTAGTTATTATTAGATAATTCCAAGGTTATTAGGATATTAACATAAAACAACAAAAATGCATTCAACACTTTTATTTGTCCTTAAAATTACAAAAAAGTAAATCACTTTGTTGAAAGAATAAAAAAAAAACTTTAAATTCTTAATCTTTCTGTTACATCATAAATTAACCATCACATTGGCTTTTTATGCATAAAAGTATTAGAAAATCACAAAAGAAAGCTTCCATCTAAAACAAACAGGAGTCCAAGCACGAAAATTGAAATAATACGGCACTAATCGCTTAGAAATATCATCGATAACAATACGAATATTTTCTTGCAAATTTTCGTGCTAGCATGTACCAAGCGTAATCTTAGTTATGAATTTATAAGCGAAAAATACTTTATTAAGTATCTTTTAACAAAAACCCTGTATAAGATACAATTTATTTATAGGTAATTTTTATAACAAGGAAGGACATGTTATGAGGAGGGATGAATCGACTGTAACAAGGAGAACGTTAGTTACGAGTGTGGAAGGGTACATCGGTAGAGGTAGACATAGAAAGAGATGGATGTTGTGAAAGGTGACATGATCAAGAAGGGAGTGATGACTGAGATTACGTATGATAGAGTTATGGATGACAAAAGGAAGATGATGTTGAAAGGGTAAAGGCAGCGGGGACATTGGACATATTTGAATAGCTATAAGTAGTGTAACATAGCCGCTTCTTTTAATTAAAAATCACGTAATCAAAGTTTTATGGACAAAGTATAGCTTTAAATTTACTTTATGTTGTCACGTTGTCTATTTAAAAAGTTTAACAATCACAAATAATAGATTTCGATCCCATTGCAAAAGTATAAATAAAAATAAAAATTACACTTGTCATAAAAACAGTGGTATTTTTACTGTCAAAGGTTTTTTAAAGTTAAATTATACTTTTCATTTCAAAATTCAACAAAAGAAACACTTGTTGAAAATTTCAAACATTTTAGTACATTGGTACTTTTATTGAAAAGCCTTCTGCTGAATTCTTGGTACATTACTGTTTAACGTAATTTTCTGTTTAATAAAACCTATTAAATAACTGACTTTAAAATGTAACATCTTCAAATATCTTTAGAACGTAATTATTTAAAATATTTGTCGAGTCACTAGTCAATACAAGAATAATAATATGTAATACCGTTACGTCATAAGTCTCGAATAATTTTGTCGATAGTTAAAAATGATTGCTAAATTTCTCCTTATGCGTTACTATTACGAAACTATTGTGATTTACTTATTTACTGTTACCATCTGTTGTACTTAAAATTCGTCGGTTGCAACTAATGGATACGGTTGCTGTATTGACAATATAAAGGAGACTTTAATTCCTGATATTGCGTTAAAATTATTAATTATACTCTAACGAGTAACAGCACAGTTTAATGTCAGTAATACCAGCGTTTTATCTTTCTGTAGATAAATATTAACTTTGTGTGACTCGACTCATAGTTAACCTAATCAGCTCTTTCCAGCAGTTTCCTGACAAGTCGCCAATCCTCCATGATGTCAGCATCAGGTAGCATGTAGACCACGTAAGGTGGTGATACCGCGACCTGCCTCTTCCGTCGTTTCCTTCCCCATTCTGCACCACACGACCACAGGTCTACCGTATGCCGTTCTTCTTCTATTTTTCTTATCTTCTCTAATAGTTCTTCTTTTAAATTCTCGTATACCAGCCACTTTTCGCTCTGTTGACAAGAGAGAATACGTTTAGTTAGTGTTACGAATTTAAATTAGTGTGGCACAGTAAGAATAGTGGACTGTGTTATAGTACATAAAACAGTCTACTTATACTCAAAGGGAACTTTAATATCTGTTGTCTAGAAGTCCTAGAAAGCATTTGTAAAATTACCGACATATCGGATACAAATAGTTTATCAAAAATTTTCGTGTGCATTCTCCAAAATAGGTAATATAGCATAGATTTAATATTTTAAACGCAAAAGTTCTCTTAAAAAAGATTTTAATCATTACTAAAGTTAGTAACAATTTATTATCATGCAATAAAATTAAAATGGGTTCATAATATCGCAAAAAGATCTTCAAAAAATTAGGAAGACTAATTTAAATGTATGTTTACTTCAGACAAATTCATTCATACAACCATTACTCCGCGACTTAGTTGCATAATTTGCAAAGCGAAGCTTTCTCTTATCAACAATTCTTAGGCAAACTCAGTCGCAATAGATAACGTAATTAGTAACCGGTTATGCTAGTAAAGTTACTGGTTGTTGACGAAATACGTAGAAAAAATACATTGAAATTAAGTCTAACTAAGGATATAAAAAAAACCTGAAATCACATTAAATTGGACAAAAATAAATTATTCCTATCAATTTCCGTAAAAAAGTGAATCTTACTAATTTTATAAACGAGAAAGTTTGGATGTATAGACATTTGTTAGAGTTTGCGGCCTAAACTGCTAAACGGATCTCGATGATTTGATGTAGATGATAGCGTGGAAGACCTAGGTTACTTACTTTTATTTTTATTATACAACGAGCTGTTCCCTTGCGACTTCATCCGCGTAAACTCATGAAAATGTTATTTTATAGTTTACATGTGTCAAATAATCAATTGCAAATGTCAAAATACCAATTACCTTACTATGGCAATTTTGCTTTCTTGATGTTGGCAGCAACTTATGGTCTCATTCCCACATTAAGGTTTTTACCCAAAATATTAACCCCTATGTTTAATGGCGTGAAAATACATAGTCTAAAGCATGACGTAAGTGTAGGGCTTTTTATTACAAAGTAAATTATTCAAAAATATGCTATAATTGCTGACATCTTAGGCAACAAAGAAGTGTGTGTTTACGCTTTATTATAATAGTATAGAAAACGGATTCGGGTGCAAAATCTAGAGTTTTCATATTTCTGATGGGACGTTATTTTGAACTAGGTTTTGACCGCGTCTCCATTCGCGTGAAATTAACAAAACCAAGATAAGTCTATGTGTTCTTATAGACTATTCTATTTTGCCAAATTTCAGATCCGTTAAACCATTCCGGATTTGCCTTCTAACAAACATCGATATAAACATTTACATTAGTAAAAGTAAGGTCCCTAAACATCGTGTTTAAATGGTTCAAATAAGATAAAACGTATTATTATTTTTAGACTGACAAAATAACGGTTTCATTTCAAGGTATCGTCAAAGACGTTATCTAGGGGTAAGAAAGCCACATCCAGGGGCGTACTCAGGTATAAACTAACACAATAAGAGTACCTTTTGATTGCTACAATGTAACGAGGGGCTGCGCGTTTTAATAATAATCTGTACTTCAAATAAAAATACATCTGCCTGTCTTATTGTGCGATTCCACTTCCAAAACTTATACAGAAACATTTTTACAATATTTCCATCTTTTACGTTTCCTGTGCGATATAGAATCCAACTAGATTTTACCCGAGACTCCGTCCGCGTGGTATTAAAAAACACAAAAGTAAGTAACCTATGTGTTCTTCCAGACTATCCTCTACGTCTGTGACAAAATAGATCGAGATCCGTTTAGCTGTTTAGGCTACAAACTCTAACAAACATACGTATAAACTTTAGCATTTATAATATTAGCATGAAGTATTATTTACATCATTCATTCGCTGTTTGATGTGGTATATGTGCCAATTGGTTCCTTTTCTTTCAAAATTAAAACGTATCTAGTTGTTGAGATTTTCTTTAAAAAGCGATCCAAAAATCGTTTAATTGTCTTGAAGTCAGTTATCGTTTAGTTATAACCATATCTAGTTGTAAAAAGTTGTTAAAAAGCGATCCAAAAATCGGTTGATTTTGTCTTGAAGTGATATATCGTTTAGTTATTAAAATGACTAATACGATAAAAATACATACCCTAAACCCTAAATGATATTTAACGCTTGATTAAATTCTGTTACATTCGCATACTGGATGTATTCTTAACAAAATGGAGTTATTTATTGCAACATAAGTCATATTGAGCTCGGGGCTCTTAATGCTTTCGTTTATCGTTTTCTCAACAGCCGTGAAGGATTTATTTATTAAATTACATTTTACAGTTATACGTTAAAATCGTTATGACTTTGCTCTTTTAACTACGTAGCATATTAAAGAACAGACTAGAATAAGTAACATCTTGTTATCTGTACTAATATTATAAAAAGGACAGATTTGGATTTTTGTATTTATTCACGCAAAAACTCCTGGACCGATTTAAATTCTTGCATTAAAAAGCTATGTTATTACTGAGTAACATATGCTATGTGTTACTATTTCTTTTATTTCACGCGGGCGAAGTCACGAGCAACAGCTATTAATTATAAAAGAAAGGGGGGTAAATAGGTGGCGAGAATGTGATCTTCCCATAATCAGCACCAGGTAGAGGAACTGCATAACTGCCAACCTTTCAGTAAGAAATGTGATCATTTCTTGAAGGACACTAAGTCGTATTTGATTACAAATACCAACGAAGACGGTTCCACAAGGTCTTTAAAGGTCAACAAATCATGTAAGAACTATGTCTTTATACATGTATTACAACAATGTAAACACAGATATAACATTTACGAATGACACAGCAATTTAAAGCAAATTGTACAAACGGAATTGTGTTCCATTAACCCGGCTTAACGAAAACCCGCACGAGGCGACCAGAAATTGGTTATTTTTGAATTAGAGCCTCGGCTGGCAACGGGCCAGAGACTTGACATACACTTCATTATTTACCGTAAGTTTCCATTGCCGAAACATATACTGATGTCTCCATTTCTTGATAGTAAGGACAGGAATACATGCCATTAAAATGGAAAATTATCTTCTCAGTTCACGAAACGCCCGTAGGTGTTTCTAAATCAAATATAGCTGATACCTTGATGCCAGTATGTACACATGCCTGTGGCTTGCAAAAGCAAGTCATTACTGATGCATTCCCGCCTTTCATGTTAGAGATGTCAATATACTTTTGCACGTATTTAGCCAGTGAGAACCAACGGTTATATTTACAAATACTATAAGATTGTTTTACCGTTCTTATAAATACAAACGTCTTTTTACTAGAAATATAAATATTGTAACGAATATTTCTCATATTAAAATCTCTTTTGCACGTCAAAGCATTTAAAGACCTTTAGTTATTCAGATTTCGATTTAACTATATAATTGCTCTTGCTATTTTTTTTATTCTTTTTAATTTTCAATTCATTCACAGTTCATATGTTTAATGAAACTTGATAAACCTGCGAGTGCAACTCAAAACATTATCATAGCATACATAATATTATCAACAAGTTGTATTATTTGAAAACATGTTACGTATACTTGTAAACTGAACGTTGCGCGGGCGCAGTCAACAAGATGGCCGCGGACGCGCACAAAATGGCCGCTGCTAATGAAATATAAGCCATCGACGCCAAGTTGTTCGCTATACAAGAAAATCATAATAAAATAAAATTCAAATTTATGAAAACAATATTTTTTTCTTGTTTTAATCTAACTTCTTACTAATATTATAAATGCGAAAGTTTAGATGGATGGATGTTTGTTAGAGTTTGTAGCCTAAACGGCTGAAGGCATCTCGATGAAATTTGGCATACATGTAGAGGCTTGTCTGGAAGAACACATAGGATGTTTTCTTTTGTTTTTTTTTATTTTGCGCGGATAGAGTCACGAGTGAAAGCTAGTATAGTCATATAAAAGTACAGAGTACATTAAGTTTAATAAATAAATGAATTAGGACAATAATAAAGCAAATAATTTGATGAATTATTAAAATAAAATATCACATAACGAGTCATTCAACACTTATATCAAATGACGAAGCACTTGTAAGTAGATCCAAATAAGGTCTGGTGATCAAATCAACTAAATCCCTTTGTAATAAAACAGTTAATATTAACACAAAGACCTTTTTACTTGGAACTACAATATTGCGATTACGTTATCTAACAAAGAAGTTCCAGGAATTAGGAAACTATGAATTTAAAATTGAAGTGCTCACAACTAGTTGAAATAGAACCAAAAGCAATTGGATATTTAATTAACAAAGCCCGATGGCAATGATCGATTCTCGGCTCGCTAATTAAAAAACAACTGCTCGCCAAATCAAGCGTAAATTGTGTTAGGTCAGTCCCGACTTCTATGTACTCTATTTCCTTCAATATTTTTGTATTTAAACAGTCTTTAGAACGTCAAAGTTCTAATCATAAAAATTCTTTTCAAAAACTGTCACAACCGATTTTGAAAAGAGCCAATAACATTTTACACTGTATTAAAAAGACTGTCTTATACATCTTTGGTAAATGAGTCATCACCCATTTGCCCTTATCCCTAACGGAGGGTCGGCACAGTATGTGCTGCTCTTCCATACATCTCTATCAGCCGTCATATCTGAATCCACTCCTTTCTTAAGCATATCCTCTTTCACACAATCCATCCATACTTTCTTCGGTCTTCCTCTTCCTTTGTAGCCATCCACATTCAATCTTAACACTTTCTGGTTTATGTCCCCATCATTTCGTCGCATAACATGTAAAATACCTTATTAAAACTAGGGAACTTATCGTCGTTGTGAATCAACGGATCTGTGACTCCATGGATGTATGAGTAGGAATATTCCCGAACAAAATTAAAAATAAACTTATTCTAAGAATTGAAAATTATTGAAAACTGAATATGAAATTACAACTAACAAAATTGTACCTAAAATGGATAA